TCGAAGGCTTTTGAAAAAATTGCATGTTGCAGGAAAAGTTTGAATTCAACGCATAGCACGTTACACGCTCCAAAGCATTGAACACGGCACTGACTTCAACTCTTATTTATTTACAAAGAAGATAAAACTTTACACGTGACTAAGTTCCCTGTTAAGTTTAAAATTATCTTTTAAAGTAGGTAGAAAACAAACCTAACCTATATCGTGTAAAACTTTGCACGTGATAAAAACTGTTGACTTTTGAATTTGGAATTCTCAAATGTGAATTACAAGTAGCATTTAAGCAAACGCTTAGTTGTTTTCCTAAAACCCACTTGAAAAGATGTTACCAGAAGGTGTTTGCGGAGAAGCGTTCTCTGCGAGATGTTGCCGAGCTAACACGACTCTCGTAGGCAAAATTGAAATGTTACGTCAACTTTGTACGACTAACGATATTATCATAACACGTAAAATTATCACACATTGTAGACATGAGAGAAATAAAATATTCGTTTAAAGTTAATAAACGTTTATACTATAATCCATTTTATAAGGACTTTAGGTTGCCAATTTCTGTGGAAAATTTTACAGAGTGAAAATTCTATTTTTTTCATAAATATTTAAAAAAGGAGTGTAAATCTCTTTATCAATGAATGTCGTCGTGTCTCTTTACTGGTAGGATATCGTATTTATTTGACGTCATCATTTCGAATGGGCGCCATTTAAATTAGGGCGAGTGCACGCAGGGCGAGGCACCTCGCCGGCAGGCGTTGATCCGTATCGTGTGCACGATCCCGATGACCGGGTTTGTATCACTCTTTAAAATATTACAGATTCAATTTTATAACATTCAATCGAAATTAAGACCCTTGGATGTCAATGTTATTCGTAGTTAGTAACACTTGTAACTAGTATAGTCATAAAATCCACAAACACAATTAAATGTGGTTTAATTTAAGTATTCATATTTGACATCTAGTTTAAACAGAATGGTTTAGGGTTCTTGTAATGTTTAAATTTCGTTTACAATTTTTATGGTATTTTTATTGCTGTGTACTTACGAACATTAACATGATTGTTTAAATAGATGTATGTTAGAAAGCATGTCAACAACGGCCCAACGGATCACGACAAAATTTTGCCTAGATGGAACATAGTCTGGAAAAACACATGCTAATTAATAATTTGGTTGACGAAGTCGTTGGTAAAATTTACTATACATATATTTTGTTAAATACACGCTCGTCGACACCGCAACTTATCAACTAAAGCTACCGCCTGTGTAATGAAGTCTTGTAACTAATTACCGTTGGAAGTAATTGAGTTGTCAGGTAATTAGCAACGAGGTCAACTTCCGAGAGCTTATCAAGTGCAAAATATTCGGCTAACCACTACCTGACCGGAAATTCAGAATTAACTAATTAATTTATTGGAACTTGAGATAAATGTGTCTATTAATAAATAGTAATCATTATCGCTAATACTAGGAATGCAAACATTACAGGATTGCATCTCTCGCTACACTCCTAACAGCACGCGCATATCTTTGACTAAATTATTGCAAAATTCTTTGTTCGCGATTTATTTCCTATGAACTTATATGGAGGTGAGCACAGTACTATTTTTAGTTGTAACTAAACAATTGAATTTACTGCGAAACAATCGACAATCGCACAACAGTTGTGGGATAGTTAAGCCAAAAGTGACCGCCCGATTTCATGCTTTCATATCCATACACACGTATTGTCGTTACGGATATTATTCTCTCTTTAGTAAGTAACCAGTTAAGTACTGAAATGAGGTATCGGTAGTTTTGTTAGCTATTGAAATATAGTACCTTTGACCTTTCTTCATTCTTCCTTTAGGATTGGAAAACCACAAAAGCCTTTCTCAATGTCACTTACAATTCTCTTTTAAGGGCAACTTTCGTAAAGAGATGATTTTATGCATAAAACCTGAGAGCATCACCTTTTACTATTAATCTACATTTACTAGGACATTTAACTGATTTTTACTCGACTAATTACTTTCAAGGATTTCGCTTTGAAAATATACGTTTTTTAATTAATGACCACAAGCCATATAAATGTTTGTGATAAACCATAGGGGAATATGAAATCATGAGAATATAAATTATAAAAGCTTACTGCTACATAAAATTAATTAATCTGCGTATTTTATATATTATGCAAATCCGTACGTTTATTAATAAGAGAGTTTTTGCTCCTTAATCTTTTACACTATGTTTAATATGCTACCATTTTGTGGTACAGAAGAATATCGTAATATTTTTTAAATCACAGAATAACTGAGTTTATTGCAGGTAAATAAAATTTGAAAAATATGTTATAACTCAGTTTGAGTTCCGATACTTTTATGTTCGTACACAAGTAACATCTAATGGCCTCTTTAATAACTTGCGACGCTTTTCCTCAACACGAGAGACGAGGGGAGACGAAACAACTTTCATACACTCACTGCTTTTTGAGATATATCATTTATGATTATAACGGATAGGAAAATGTTTGATCGAATCAATGTAATTTCAATGTAAATCGAAATCTATATCAATACAACAATTTTTTTAATTTTCTCATATATATACTAATATCATAAAGACACTTTGTTTGATTGTAATGAATAGGCTCAAAAACTGCTGTTCCAATTATAAAAATTCTTTCACCGTTAGAAAGGTAATTTATCTGTAACATAGTCGATATTTTTTCATTTCTTTATTATTACTCTTTCTATTTGAATTTCACGCGGACTGCGGGCAAAAGCTGGTTGAAAATATTTTAAACAATATTCTATTTTCTTTTTCGAATATCTTGCAACAAATAAAGGTATATTTCTAAAAACAGTAAGTAGCATCTATTTCTTTCTTGCTTTGAAATAAGTGTTTGCCAGGAAAGCTTAATGTTAACAGCTCTTCATTATAAGCTAAATGACAGCACTTAGTAAAACAGCAAATAGCAGTAATGAATGCTGTTGCGGTGGTGAAAAAGATGAAATAACCGACTCCTTGATAAACTCGTCAATTTGAAAAGAGCGTTTTTACGTTTTAGAGATTTTTTTTTAATTAGCTCTGAAGCTCAATACAGGTGAATGAAGATATACTGGTTATGATTAAGATTTGAAAAAAATAAACGTCCTAAGTTTTAATAAAACAAGTTAGGAAGTTAAGATGAAAAATGTGAGGCGAAGCTTCCTACCGCCTTGACAGCCGACATCCGTTATATGCAGATGATGTTTAATTAAAACAATTTTAAGAAAACCTTTCTGTGCGATAAAATTAGAGAAATTCACTTAAAACTTACTTAATATTATAAATGCGAAAATTTACATTTATTGATGGATGGATGTTAGAGTTTGTAAGCTAAACTGCTGAACGGATCTTGATGAAATTTGGCATGGATGTAGAGAGGTCTGCAAGAACACATAGGCTACTTGTTTTTGTTTTTTTGAATTCCACGCGGACGGAGTCGCGGGAGATAGTTAATAGATTATAATTTAATTTAGTAATAGTAGTAGTTATTTGGTACCTGGTCTATTAATATACATTCATTTTAAATGTATGTTATTTCGCGTTTCTTTTATCGTTCCTTTGAATTTAATTTTATATAACTAACAAAAGTATTAACCATTCCGATAGAGAGAAAGTCATATTTAATATTTAGGATATAAAACATTTTTAAATAGGAAATTTCATTTAACGACAAACATTATTTGTAATAGATGCAAATGAGGCATCGAAAGAGATTAGCTGATCACGTTAATTGCAGTATACATGTCCGTTTAGAGAG